TGTGAATGGTGTGTGACCATAAACAACTGTCCCCCCCCCCCCCCCCACCCCCCAAATGTAACTGGATGGACATGAAAACCCAATAGTGCATAGAACAGTCCAGGTTTTCACACAGTGATGGCACAAAGGTGTTCGCTTGTTAAGTGGAGCATATTGGTTCTTTTCTGTTTTCCTGTCTAGATATTCACCAATTCTTTCAACAGGAACAGGAAAAAACACCTCATCCTGTGCCCAGTCTGCTCTCACTAATGAGGTGAGTTAACGCTCGCCAACAAAGTGACTGTAGTGCTACAGCAGTCATAATCTCACAGCAGCAGCTACATACATCACCCTGCAACCTATAGCTGGCAGCCAACTGAAGCTCAGCAGGTGTGAGCCTGGCCAGTACCTGGATGAGAGACCTGGGAAAGCTAACGTTGCAGCTTGAAGAGGTGTTAATGGGACCAGTAGGGGGCGCTCACCATGTGGTCTGTGTGGGTCCTAATGCCCCAGTACAGTGACGGGGACACGATACTGTAAAAGAGGCACCATCCTTCAGATGAGATGTATAACCAAAGTCCTGACTCTCAATGGTCATTAAAAATCCCAGGGCTTTTCTCGAAAAGAGTAGGTGTGATACACCAGGGTCCTGGCTAAATTACCAATCATGGTCTCCTAATAATCCGCAGCGCATCATCCAGGTGGGGGGTACAGGTAGGTGGTGGTGGAGGGGAGTCCCCATTACCTGTAAAGTGTTTTGAGCTGAGTTTCCAGAGAAGCCCTATATTAGTGTAACGAACTATTATTACTATTATAATCAAGACTCCACAAAATCATTATCCAAAATATAAAGAATAGAGTGCTAAAAACATGCATTGAGTGAGAAATGAGTCCCATTGATGCATAATTGAACGTTTTAAGGACCTCTGAGAAATGATTTAGTATAATTTGGGATACAAGGAATTGTAAGGGTAATAAGTACATCTGGTGCAGGATATTGAAGAAAGTTAGTGATGGTGTAAATTGGGGGGTTTTGCTTCCCTCAGGTGGCTGCACTGTAAACTTTTGAAATATTTTTTACAGGGGGCGGGGGTGGGAGAGAGCAGCGATTTATATTTCATGTTATTGTTTGCAATCGAGAAAAAGTGCAGAATAAAATTTGGAGTGACTACAAAAATCTGGAAAAGGGTTTATTTTAGGGGCACTGGATTACTGACCACATGCCATTGCTCTCAATGGCGTGCTCTTTCAGAACAGGCAGAGCGTGTGTCTGCAGATTACTGATTCTGTTCATTTTGCACTGAAAAGTGGAAGAGAACAGAATCCAGACAGGCTTGAAAATAATACAAGTTTATATGTGGGATGGTTCACAGTTTTTTTTGCAGCGTCTTTTTGTTTATTAGCCAGTACGGTCCGGTGCAAACAAGTGTATTTTATCATGAGACTATGTACTTTTTAAACTGCTAATCCACAATTACAATGGAAATAAAGTACACGTGTATATTTTTTTTTTCTCGGAGGGATTCATTTTTGCCTAAGCAGCGTTGCTTCTGGACTCGATGTCAATTCGCGGACGCAGCCTCAAGGCGATGCCTCTGAAACGCACAAGGACCGAGTCTGCCAGCCTATAGCATCCTCGCCATTTTCCAGCCTGCCGGAAACAGATTCTATCGTCACCGCGACAGTCCGGAGGTACAGCCCAGCCAGTTGCTAAGGAGACCGCGCATGAGTCTTGGTTGGGCCCGCGAGATATAAACTGAGAAAAAGGCCGACTTACGCCTGTGTGACTTGGAGCGAGAAGGAAAGCTGTAGCGTCGTAGTTCCGATTTATTTCCGTCTTCAAATGATTCGTGCTACGATATTCGCCCGTCTCGCTCGGTATCGTCGCTGGTTTGTGTAGCAGAGCCTGGAGGAAAATGCTGCTCCGATCTCGCAGGATCCCGGCCCGGCCGCCCAGCGAGCCGAGCACCCCGCGGAGCCTCCGCCCTCGCTCCCCCAGCCGGAGAGCGCCGCCGTCGGCCAAGGCAGGCGGGAGAGCAGCGGTAAGGGCCGTCCCGGGGAAACTTCCGCCACGGGCCTGTGTTTGTTTTTGAAAGCCCTCGGGGTTTGAAAATTGCCCGCCGCCGTCTGGGGAGAAGGGGCAGGTGTGGGCTGGAAGGTAGTTCATCTTTTGTTGTTGCCGTCCCTGTCAGTGCGTGAAGCTCGAGTTATTTTTAAGCTCTTAAACCGGGCAGGGAGAAAAAAAAAACCCGACTGAGTTCTGACAGTATCCTATCTGAGAGTATCATATCTACAAGGAAGCCTTAGCGTAAATTAAAACGACACGGCTGTTATTACGTGACATTTGCGTTCATTTTCACGGGGAGCGTTTTTCTGGCTTCTTCCAATCTTAGTGTTTCCGCTGTTCCTCTGCAGCTCCAGCGTTAAACGGCTGTTGTTGGTTTGTTTTTTTGATGAGGTTGGTCGGCGCTCGATATTATTTGGAGGCCACACGATTTAGCCCCTCTGTGTGCGTCCGTAGCGCCGAGTCTCTGTTGTGTCCTGGAGTTCTGTTAGAAAGCCAAGAGAGGATTTTTCCCTTTCTTGACAGATTTTCAGCTAGCCTACATTATAAGAATCATCCTTCTGCTGCCTCTAGTTATGACAGAAAGTTAAGGGGGTGTCCACTGCCAGAACGCTTCCCACACGTCAGCTATTAGTGAGGAGGACAACAGAGTGATGAAGCCAGTTCAGAGATGGGGATTATTAGGAAGCCATGATTGGTTTCATTTCGAGAATCACCCATAATGACCACAGAGAGTCAGGACCTCGGTTTTACGTCTCATCCAAAGTATCCTGCGCTGAGCTGTAGTGCCGAGTTCATTTTTGCAAAACAAGCTGCACCTACAAATGCTAGTAAAGGTATTTTCCAGAAACCAGAAAACCTGTTTTCAAGGCGTTGGAGTTGCCTTTGCAGGCTCTTTGCATGTCGAACACCTGCTAGCTGATGTGTGACCCGGGTTCTCCTCCATCCCTGGCAGGTCAGAGGGGAGGTGGGACTGGACTCCCTGCAAGACCCGGAGGAGGAAGAGGTCCATGTCCTGAAGCCCCTGACCATGCAGACGCGAAGCAAAGGGAAAGTGAGCAAGACCGACAGTGAAGGTACAGTGAGATTCCTGTGGCGAGGCTGTGCTCATTACCCAGGAACTGTCCTGTATGTTCCAGCATGGATTGCAATCTGTACTCTTAATATCATGCATTGTGGAATTTAAGGCCCCTTTTCTGCTTGGGGTTGCAGTTGTAACATTTTCTGTTTGGATGTTTTTCTTTCACAAATAAGAGGTGACAATGGACTGTGGTGGTCTCTTTAATACTAAAGTAGCAGAGTGTGACTTAGGATGGTCATTTTTCTAGGTTTGTGTCCATGACCTAGCTGAATGTAAAGGCTGGGTGATTTTAGTTTAACACACTCGTGTGGCTGTTTCTTCATCTTGCGTTGCTGCTGTGTTTCCGTGCAGATTTTAAGACTCCTGTGAAAGGCCAGCAGCTGAGGGTGAGGTTTGAGATGGACGAGAGCTCGTGTAAGAACACTGCCGTTCGAAACATTTGTTCTCCACTTGTCCACTTCCTGCTGCCAGGACAGGATGGTAAGTATGGGACCTAGAGTAATAATAGATGTAACTCAAGTGCTTCTTGATGTCCTCGCTTATGTTGAGGAAAATAACAAACACAACAAAGCAATTTGAATACCTTCAAAAGCACAGCTTAAAAGCTCCTTCTTTGTATAAAGTTTTTTTTCCAGTTGTTTTTATCTTTTTGGATAATAGTTCCTGAAGTCAATCTAAATGTCTATATTGTCAAAGGATGCTTAATGTACTGTACACATAGCAGTTCTCACCATGTGGTATTATAATTTTGTTGCCAAACATATATAGTCATAAAAATAAACAAATCATTGCTTGCCTGTAGCAATTCAATTCCTATCTCATTGCAATAGAACCAGGTCCACAGAAAGTTAGTCTCATACAGCTGTCATGGACTAGCTCAGAAATGTTTGATCACCTAGCCTGCACAGCCATAATGATTTTTTCACTCCCAAGATGAGAAGTCACCCCAGCCAGAGCAAGAGGTGTTTGATTACAGCCGTTTCAACCCTGTGCTTAAGGACGAGGACAACTGTAAGGAGTGCGACCTGTAAGTACCATGGCCCTCAGACCATAGGAATTGCAGGGAAGGTTCAAGACGTTCTAAACGGCAACATAAGCCCTTTCTTTTCTGACAATATGTTTAAAAATGTAATTTTGTACTGTTCAAAAGATGTTGATGGCAACTTAAATTTATCAAAATATTTGATTTCATCCTGTTTTATAGCATGCTTGAGAATAATAACTTCCTGCACATGAATAGTAGACTTATAATTTATTAAACCAATAAATGGTTGTAATGATTTTACTTTTCTAAGTATTTTGTTTAATGGGTAATGTGCGTCTTTGCTTAGGGACAGTTCAGGTCCAAAGCCTTCAAAGGATTGCTTTATTCTACTGTCTACATAGCATTGAAAGGCATCATTTATTTCCTGCTAGTTTAGCATTTAGGTATCTTCTCAGCTGTTTGTAAACTAATGCTGGGTGTTGTTCTGAATTATCCTGTTGTTGACGCCTAATTTGGCCTTTCCTCTGGGTTTCTTCCAGTTACACCTTCATCAAGAGCATTCCCTTGCAGTCCCAGCATTCCAAAGTCCGCATCAGGGATATCCCTGTGAAAACCAGGAGCACCCCTGAAGCCACCCTGGTCCTGGATCTGGTAAGCCAGATTGTGTCTCAGGGTTTTAAACATTGAACCCTTTTTTCCCAGAAGGATTTTGTGGGAGACTCGGGGTCTATTAACTGGTGATCATTTATATGGTAGTAATAACATAGGATATCCTTCTAGCCACCCTCACTTTTCTGGTCTAATGTAGTTTTGCTGCATCATCGTGTCAAGAGTTACTGCTCTCCTTTATTACAAATTGATATGGCAATAAACTGACTTTTTTTCTTTTATTTCCTATATGTTCTAGTTTATTCCATCTTTTATATTGGGTGTGAGTTTAAAAAGAGGTTTGTTTAATTTGAGTTTTAAAACTTGAGCAATGCTAACATAAAATGGACGTAGGTATTACAGTGATGCATTACTAATTTATTGAATATTTAAGAGATGGCAATACAGTACACTTGTTTTTTAGCAGGTAAAACTTTGCTTCTTTGTAACCATTTTTTAATTGCAGGATGAGACATTAGTGCAAAGTTCACTCGGTGTGATTCCAAATGCTGAATACACATTCCTTGCTCGCTTCCAGGATCAGGAATACAAGGTTTGTGCAAAGTTATATTCATTTTTCAGTGTAAAAGTTGAAGGTTCTAAAATTGATATTTCTTGACTAATTAGAACCTACTGTATCAATTATACAAAGTATAATTTAATTATACAAAGTTTTATTTAAGATTTGTGGTGGTTTACACTTTGCTTAGCAAAAGGTTCTGGTCTCACTGTTATTATATTGATTTTTCACTAGAGGTATTCTGGTTCAACAAACTTCATGAACCTCTGGCCATAAGGTGTCAGTATTGTGTTGCTTTCAATAAAAGACATGACTTTCCACCCTTTCTGAAACTTGTTGTCCCTTGTGTGATGTGTAAATTTAAATAGTCATGATTGAATGTTGATCTCAAGACTGCAGGGAGCTCTGCAGTATTGCTTATTTAAGCCACAAACATCCACTTCCATTTCTGCTGTCAGTTTTAAATTTTGTGAACAAAGCTAGTCAGTGTGGTTTTCTTATGATTTATTGACATGTATTTTCTACTTGTCTTACATTTACAACTCTGCTATTTGTATAAATATAAATCCAGATTTACTGTTAACACAATACACTGTTATTTTGTGTAGTGCACAGTGCGTGCATGTGTATTGTTTTTTTAAAACATTTACATTTTTCAGTTCTTGGGTTAAATTATCGGATTCAAGTCAGATTAATTATGTTGGTGCTCTTTATCTCTAATATTGTGTGCATCACATAATGTCCTGGATTGTTGACTGCTGTTGAAATTGGAGATTTATAGTGAATTAGAAAACATGTATCTTTTACTTTCTCTTTAGGTCTACATGAAGGTGAGGCCTTATGTGCAAGAGTTCCTAGAAAACATGACAAAGATATTTGAAGTAAGTGTTTTTTGCTAATCCTATGGAATTTCTAATACCCTCTACACAATGTGAAATCGTGCAATATTATAGTTTATTCACATTAATCTCAATTATAAAGGTGCCTACTTTTTACAAATGAGAGATGAAGGCAAAAATTAAGTTGTATGTGTGTGTGTGCACCACTAAATTACTTAATTGTGTACAAAATGTAACATTTAAAGTGAATTTCAAGTAATTACTTTAAAAGCCTCATCTTTCTAAGATACAGATTCATCTTTAAAGAACATAAGGCAGTCACATTATAGGTTATTTCATTGATTGTTGAGGATATTGTCAAGAGAGTTTAATCAGAGGTTTTCAGAGCCTGCCTGACTGCTATATTTGCTGAGATTCTTTGTCGTATGTTTTAGATATTTGTTTATACGTCTGCCAAGAAAGAGTATGCAGAGAAGATCTTGGACATCTTGGATCACCAGAAAAGACTGATTCGGTAATCCATAAATGTTATTTTTTCTGAATTTTTCCTATTGTTTCTATTATTTTGCACACGCCTTTTCAAGTTATCGTGTGCTCACTGCAGAGGCTTTATAAGTAGCAAGTCAATTTTTGTATTTGTTTTCCCCAAAATACATATACAAAATATTTAGATATTGTATACATTGTAATCAAAGTATAACAGGTTTTTGGCCTGTTTTTTGTGCAAGTTTAAGGAAACAAAGTGTTTTTAATACCTGATGATGAATTCTAAAACAAATTGGGACCAAAATTCATACTAAGCGCTTGCCCCTGAAAAAAGGTTCATTCCGAAATGTTGATGCCCTTGTCTTTTCAGGCATCGCTTGTACCAGGAAGACTGTTTGTGCATCATGGGGCACTACATCAAAGATTTAACTATCCTGAACAGAGACCTGGCCAAGACTGTCATTGTGGGCAACGATCCCTACACTTTCCCCTACCATGTATGTTTTAACTCGGTCGCTTATCAAAGCTTGAGGTTTATTTTGTATACATGGTATCTAAGACCTTATTATTTATTTTATTTCTGCCATATGTAGTGGTCAAACCACAAGAGATGGATAGACAGTAAATGCAGGTTATGTATATATACAGCCACTTTTTTTTTTTACTATGTACCTAAATAGGCATCTTAATGAAACAGGGATGTTTTTTAAATTGTGTCCTTAGAATCTGAATGTTCCATATCCAATTAATTTTCCATATCCATTAATTAGATCTTAAAAACAGGGGGAATGCTTGTGTTTATAGCAAAAGATGTGGATTTAAAATGTAGGGAAATTACATTTATAAGACCTAATATGAAATATTGTGCTGTTCTGGTCATCATACCAGAAAATTATAGTATAGCCTTTGAATGCATACTGGAAAGAACAGGAATGATAAACCTGTACCTGTATGGCAATCCTGTCAGACATAAGTGCCGAATCTTTTTAGTCTAGAACGAAGTAGCAGCAGAGATTTGATCCACGTATTTAAATTCTAGAGGAATATAGACAGGGTCAGTATCTCCTGGTAGTGAAACAAGGGCACAATTTGAAGCCGAAAGGGCATTAATTTAGGACAGGAAATGGAGAAACCCGCAACTCTTTATGTAAATGTATCAAGAACAGGTTTCCAGTCAGCGGGTTGAAGCCCACACACTGAACTGGATGAATATTTAGATCAACTTAGGTGCTAAAATTGACAACCGGATTGGGGTGAAAGGCCTCCTCTTATCTGTCACATTACATTCTTAAATGCAAGTACTTGTAATCCATCATAAAATCCAGGCACAGTGTCATGACACACAGTTACAGTCTTCATTTCCTTTGTGTCTTGTTGCAGTTGATGAACATGATCCCCATCCAGAGGTGGACTGGGAACAAAGACGACAAGGCGCTCCCTAGGCTGGCCCCATATCTTGAGAAATTGTCAGACACTGTGAGTTGAACAGGGTGCTTGCTATTGTGAAGTTTGACGTTGTCAGTGATGAGAAATGGCTGCCCCCCTTATTGGTATCACCTTTTCATGTCATTGTTACATTATTTTATATCTGTACTTTTAAAGCAGCAGAAGGGGTGGGTTTTTCTTGGCAGCGCCTGCTGCTTTTTATTTCAATAGCCCTCCAGACCTACAGCATGTGAAGATTTATTTTTAATCCGTTTCTGAGTTAAGGTGATAAAATTGATAAATGCACTCGAATATGTGGTGTTGTACTCTGCATAAATATACAAAGACAAAGCAAAAATTTCCTGTTGTGTTTTCCCTTGTTTGTGTAATCTTAGAATCCTTCAAGATGATATACCCCCCCTATGAATTGGATATACAGTATTAAAACATTCCTTTGTTGTGGGGGAGCTTCTTAAAAGTCTGGGCAAATCACTTTGGTCCTCGTATAAACACGGTAGGGATGTAAGTCACTTACCATCAGACTGCATTTTGCAGCCTCTTATCGTTCATGTTTGTTTTTCTGCAGAGGGATTTCCGACGGGTACTAAAGAGGAGGACAGATAATTTTCGGGGACTACTGTCTGAAGACTGATGAACTTGTTGTGTGTGGCGGTCTTGATGTCGTGAAATGCCTAAAGATCTGCTAAGGCCTTTCATCAGTTCTCTTTCTCATCCTGTGTTCCATACAGTGAACTGTCAAATTCTGCAAAGGTGATTCTACAAAGAGGAGAAAGTACTCAAAGAGAATGGGTTCCATCTCAATCTCCGCTTTGTGTGCGTGATAACAGGCCGTGATTTGAGTTTGCAATGTGTGTTCAAGTTCAGACTGTCTCACGGTGTCCTTTTCAGTGGTCAGATTTTCAATTAGCAGCTGATTCAGATCTAAACAGGTGGTTTGAGTCACTGGCTAGTAAGTTCAATTAAGTAATTAACATCTGAGGTGGAATGAAAATCAGAGGACTTCTTTGACCCTAGTGACTGGAGTTGCCACTCCCTGCTCTACATCTTCATTAGATGAGGAGAATCCTGGACACCTTTGGGTGCCTGCTTCAAGGACTTTAAGGTGCTAGGAATTAAACACTGTGCATACCAAAGTATAAGATTCTCTGTATATATTTCATGTATCAGATGTAACTTCCAGCTTCAGAGTTTCACAAATGCAGATAATTTAAATTTACATGCTCATCTTGTTGGTTGATAAGAACCTTTTTTATTTATTTTTTTTTAATCTTGACAAGGTTTTCAATGCCAGGACGCAACTTTTTTTTACAGTTGACACAGCGGGGAGGTTAAGTAGCCATTGTTTATCAGCAATTTAACACTTTTTGAGGAGTAATTGGTTTTTCAGTTAATTATAACTTTTGTTTCCATTGGGAGTAATACAATTAGGTTTTATTGGTTTTTCTAAAATAATGCTTAAAAAGTATTATGTGCTTTATAGCTAGGTTTTAACATGGTTTGGAAACCTCTTTAAAACACCCATATCTGCAAATGCTAAACAACCCTCTGACAAAAGGCTATTCTTTAATATTGAAGAATATTGGATATTGTGTCCTCAGAATAGTTTTTGGAAGGTGGGGAAATTTCAACTTTCAGGCCCCCACCCCCCGCAGCTTGAGTGTTACATACAGGTGGATTATGGTTTGTTTTATTTTTTTCTTTAAGGGCTGACCTGTTGTATATATTTGTGGTGTGCTCTATTTTACTAATTAAAGCATGTAAAGATCTCTGCATCTCTGAAAAATGTTCATTTTCTTTTATGGTTATATTGTGTTCAAATGTGCTTGATAAATCCTGAAACTAAACATCTTTGCTGTTGCAGATGTTTTCCACAGTACAGTAATCTCCACTTTTGTAGGCTGGGAAAGGGTGTACAGTATGTGCAGGTCTCATGATTTCCCATTTTTGTATAGCATTTGCTTTAATCCAATCCCCTTTTTTTTTGTTCAGCTACTCGTCCCGGCGATTGCAATCCTCTCAACTCGCCATTTACCCGAAGCTGCGGTGTAACTCTATCCATCTTGCCTGACTGCTGTTTCCCACACATGTGGTGTGGAAACAAAGGCAGCCATTGTCTGCCCCTTCTCAGATCTTCCAGTCATCAAGCGCTCTGGGCTGCCTTACAAATCATTTGTGCGGTGGTGGGCACATGGGGCCCCTCTCCTTGACAAGCTAGGAACATGCTTGCCTGCGCTTTACAGGCTCACATTGGGTGGAGCAGTACCTGTTATTGTCATGCCATGATCTGTGACACTCCTCAGATTGGGTCCGTTTTCTGCTACAGTGTGCTTTGGTTGTGGTGCACAAAGGTGATCAAGATCTCAAGAGAGTTCAGATCCAAGATTCTCATTTCACTAGATGGGCCAAGTGGCCTCTCATTGGTAAGTTTTCTGAACTGTGCTTACTACTGTATTGTGCACATTGGCCATACAGTCAGTAAGGCGTGCATTTGTAAATTGCCCTGCGGGAATGTCATGTTGGAATGAGCCTTAAAAAAGGGAGCAAATGAGATCCAAGTAGGGCTGTGCAGTGAGGTTGCTCTCCATCACTTCAAGGTGGGTTTCTGCAATGGCTTCCTTTTTTCTTGCAGTCCGCATGCTAGTATCTCCCCCCTCTTCTCCAGCAGCTAGACACTCCTGACACATGATCTCACTTGCACTTCCCAAAGTATTGGTCTGCTTCAAAAACATCCGTGTATCACGCGGCACATCTTTGCTAAATCAAGGTAGATCTGCCAGCTTGTTATACAGAACCTTGACTTATCGCTGAACACAGTTCAGCTTCACCAAAGGCAAGTCTATCGCCTCCCAGGTGCAGGAAAGTCTTTCTCCTGCTACGTGTGGTATTTTGGTTCCTTTGTCTAACTTTCTTAGTTCTCAACATGTTCCATCACCTCACCTCATCAGTTATTTTAGGAGGTGGTTTGGCGCCTATATGACTATAAAATGCTGTTTGTTGTATCGTGGTCAGTCGTTAAATGGTTTGGCGCTATTTTGATTGATATTTCATTCTGATATCCATGTTTCCAACTAAACAAAGTTTAATTTTTCTAAAAGGGATCACAAGACAGTTTAAGCGCAATCTCTCAAATCGTCAATTTAGTCTGTATTTCCGAACGTTAAGATCCCTTCTCCCTGCGATACGCATTTTAAAAAGTGTTTAAAAAGGTTAGGTCCTGATGTATTTACAACAGACGTCGTTGTAGCTAGAACGCTTTCATGTTCCCTTGTGTTTGAGGCTGGCTGTCAAGTTTTAATTAAAAAAACCTGCTTCATAAAAAAAACATGCGCTCCCCCTGTGTTCCAGCGCTAGAGTGATTCAGCCCATCTGGTGTGTGTGTGACGAGCTTAGAATAGAGTAGGTAGGCGGGGTAAGAGTAGTATTTTGTCTGTCTTGAACTTTGATTCAGTCAGAAGTCTGGACTATTTAAAAAAAAAAAGGAGTCGGGGGAAACGGGCAGCGAAGTCTGTAGAGATCTCACAATGTGCGTACCATTTTACTGGACACCTATGAGAACTTAATTACCGAACAGTTCGTGGTAAGCCATAGTCACACATTTACAGCATTTTCATTATTAGTATTTTGTTTTTCGTGCCATAGAAAACAAGATTTTGGGATTTTAAATTGACGACCATTGCATTTTAAACTTTTTTTTTCTAATCATTTTATAGGAAAGTAGTTATTGATATTGGGGGGGACTATAGCAAAGTGATGGAAAGACTCGCTGGGAACGTATTCTGAACTTATATATCAGGGGTAGGTGATATACGCGTTACATGCTGTGGTAGGCTTCTGTAACGCACATAGACAAAGATACAGTACAATGGCAGCTATATTTAAGAACTGGATGTTCACGAGAATACCAAGCTGCCCTCGCCGTTGCGACGTGTTTAGCCCTTTGCGACTCGGTGTTTTTTTAAGGAAAATGTTTTAGAAGAAAATGTATATTGATGTTGATTCTCCTGTTCCGGTAACGAAGTGGGAAATTATTTTTTTATTGTACTAAGTGTTCTCATCTCTTCGAGTTTCTCAAACGCATGGGTATTTGTGAGTCGGTAACTGGAGTAGACCGCGGTCGGCTGTTAGGATTTTTCTGAAGGATGGAGAGATTTGCGTTTGGGCTGGAGTCTACATCTCCTGTACAAAAAGGCATGCACTGGATGTTTCCGCGCAGTCTGCATTCTCTTCATTGGCCCTGTGGAGACGTTTCATCTTCCACCTACACTAAAACTTGCTACTGAGCCTTAAATACTGCAGAACTGAAAGGGCTTTTGCAAGTCTGGCGCACAATGTACAGTATTTCCCTCCATTTATGTGTAAACATGGTTGAGCCAGACAAGATGACATTAAATGGATCAAAATAAAGCCTCATTCATATGTAATTTGCGTTTATTAACGAGCAAAATATTTGTTTGGTCTGCAGGGTAGTCTATTTTAGATCCTGCACACGAGTTCGCGCGGTTAGATTGTGGTCCCATTTTGTGGGTTAGGGCATGATTTGCGTCTCAGCCTTTTTTTTTTGACGTGCTTGGATTTGGGAAAACTCCACGTTTATTCTTTCTCTTTTTTTTTCGTTGTTGCTCTTTTAATCAAGCGAGGGAGCCGCCAGTCACCGCAGAGCTGGCGGTTGAGGCTTAATCGGATTCCCAGATGTTGTTCTAGCCGTTTAGCGCGTTCTGAAGCAAAAAGACGGATACAACCACAGCTGCATGAAAATGACCACCCTTTTAAGCCTGAAGTTACTGTTAAAAGTGTTCCAAACTCCAAAAAGTAAAAAGAAAAAAACGTGAGGAGTATGTTTGCTGCTTCTTACATGTTGTAAATGTAGCCCTCCCTCAGACTGGGAATTGTTTGTTTGTCGAATTGGACTGGCAGGACCACAAAGAAACAATTTTAGCCACGTGCTTTATATCAACAAACTGTGCAATTCAAGAAACACCAGGCGAGTGGGTTTTAAAAATGAATCTCCCGGAAAGCCGGCAGAAAGAAATCTTGCAATTTCATGTGCCTTTAAAAACCTATGAAACAGGAGGCCTGTTACTAATTTGATATGTCTTGTCTTTCAAATCTAAAGTTAAGCATGTGATCTGAAAACATATTTAATCAGATATCCTTTTTAATAGCGCTCATTCTTTTTGACCCTAATATTGCACTACAGTGTGTCGCCGAAACATTTTATTGAACTGCAATAATATTTTTACCTGGTTACCTGGGGCGGTGGTCCAGATAATTGTGGAGGAGGGCTATGGTAGTCTAATTTCAACAGAAATAGTCTCCCAGATGTAACGCTGTTTAGAAGCTAAGGAGATGGGGAACACATGCTGGATTCTGGAGAGTAAGGATCAGAGCGGGGGACCCCTGACCTAGACTGTCTCACTTCATGGCTAAAGCCATAGTCCCTGAACAAATGCTTTGATGAATGACAGTGTGTAATAGTGTTTTGAGGTGGCACAGTGATTGGCATTTCCGCGTCACAGTGCTGATGCCCTGGGTTTAATTCCAGACCTGGGGCGCTGTCTGTGTGGAGTTTGTATGTTCTCCCTATGTCTGTGTGGGTTTCCTCCGGGTGCTCCAGTTTCCTTCCACAGTCCAAAGACATACTGGTAGGTTAATTAGCTTATGGGAAAGCTGGCCCTGGTGTGGGTGCCTGTGCTCTGTGATGGGCTGGTGTCCCGCCCAGATTGTACCCTGCCTTGGACCTGTTGCTTGCTGGGATAGGCTCCAGCTCCCCCGTGACCCTGTGTTGGATAAAGAGGTGGATGCTGCACACTGGTGGTGGTGGAGGGGAGTCCCCATTACCTGTAAAGCGCTTTGAGTGGAGTGTCCAGAAAAGCGCTATATAAGTGTAAGGAATTATTATTATTATTATTATTATTATTATTATTATTATTAAAACCCATGATCTGGGTTGCGATCTGGTTACTGCTGGCTTATCGTGAGAGAGCTGTATAATTCTCCTTCTCCTCATCCAGCCTGTGGGACCATGACGTCTGCGGTCCACTTGGCTGCCAGTCGCCCGGAGCTGAAGGAGTTCGACAGTGTGAAGGAGTCCATCAGCGACATTATCAACCAGCTGCGGGACATCGACCCCGCCCGCCTCTCCTTCTCGCCCTTCCTGGACCTCGACACCCAGATCTCCCTGGCGCCCGTGTCCGACAGCCCCGAGTCCTCCGTGGAGGAGCTGCACTCCCTGTCTCGCTCCCCGGCCGAATCCCGCCACTCGCTGGAGCCGCCCCCAGCCGGGGATTGTGCTGCGCCCTCCGGCCAGCTGGACCGTAAGCTCTTGTAGTCCTGTCTCTGTGTGAGTGCGGGTTTCATCCCTGCTGGGCAGCTAGACTGTTGGCTAATGGGTCAGTATCCGGGCCACCTTAAGGCCTGTTCTGACCGGGTCCCATACGAGGTAGTGATAAATAATAAAGTTAATTTAAAAAAAAGAGCCCTTTATAAAAGTAGCTTCTCAAAGCATTTTACAGTGAGGAAATCACAATCGTAGCAGATAAAAGCGTTAGTACAGTAAAAAAAGAGCAAACACAGCCAACAATGAAGTAAAAGGCCCTCAGAAAAAAGAAGGTTTTGAGTCTGGGCTTGAAAGGGCTCAGGGAAGGCGACACAGACTTCCAGAGCTTTGGGGTGTAGCAGGAGAATGCCCTGTCACCCACAGAATGCAGAAGAGCTTGGGGGACAGACAGGAGACCAGAGTCAGACGAACGAAGGTTGCGAGGTGGAGAGTAGGAAGATGATAAATCAGACCGGTACCGTGGTGCCGGTTCATGTAGAGCTTTATAGGTGAATTCAAATAAATACAGTTGTGCCTTGTTGGTACTTTGATAAAAACACATCTTTGGAAAATCGGCTTGCTGCTGCAAGAGATGTTGGTGGAGCTTGAGGCTGTGCTCGGCTTTCTGGGTCAGAAGTTCTGAAACACATGCCAGCTTGATGGCAGTGCAAACAGAGTTTAAGTTTGCAAATGATATGCAAATAAGAAAATACATTGTGTCCACATGAGAGCACAGCAACAGGTCTTGCAGTAGAAGCTGAGCTAAGTCACTCACGCTGGACTCCAGTCCTTCATTTCTCTGGTGCTTGAACTTTTGGTGTAAATCGTGCCATGATGTCACAGTGACCCAGCAAAACTAAATATACTTTTATTAATGTCTAAGTCACCTTCAGCTTACAAATATCAAAAAAACTCTACATGAACATAAAATCTTAAATCGGATGAGGTAGCATGTCTCAGAATGGCAACAAAAAGCACAGCGCTTTAAGAGGCTCAGCCTCTTGATGAGGTGTTAAACGTTTTGTGGTCATTAAAGATTTCATGGCTCTGTTCAGCAGAGTAAGGGTTTTAACTCCACCGCCCTGTATGATAACACCAGGGGTATCAGTGTAGCCGCTGGCGAGAAATTTGGCTTGGACTGCTGGCAGCTTTTGTCCTTCTTTTGAGCAGGGACACCCTCCTCGGAGAGCTTCGATCAGCAACAGAGGCAGCAGGAGGATGCAGAGGCAGCAGTGGCCGTTGCCGCGGTGGCCAGCGAAATCTCCTTCCTGGACCGAGCGGCGGGAGACGCCCCTGGAAATGGGACTACTACCCCTCTACCGGAATTCCGGGACGAATTTCCCAAAGGAGCGCGGAGCGACGGGTGGGGCCCTTTGGAATCGACCAATCAGGAGTCCACTGTAGAAGAAGACCGCCCGCTGATTAGCCCTCCTCCCGAGACCATAGAGCTGACAGTGTGGGACTCCCAGGCCCAGCCTGAGGGTGGCGCGGTGCCCAATGTGGCCGAAAGAGGCCGCTGTCGCAGATGCTGCTGCAGCAGTCGGTTCCGAGCTCTGTGTTCTGTCCTGGCCTCCCTCCTGGTGCTTCCAGGAATTTTGTATGGACTGTACTTCTACCTTCCCCTGGAATCACCTCTCTGCCCCGACCTGGCCAGCCGGCTGGTCTTCGCTATCCGCTGCTGTGTTGTGGCCGCGGTGCCCCTCCTGCTTGGTACGTCCCAGTTCCTTGATTCCTCATCGCCGTCTTTCAGTGGGTCAGTACTGGGTTTTTCCTGCAGCCGTTTCTGCTGGCGGAGTTGATCTCGGGCAAGAAAAAGTCAGTCTATGCAGGACTGTGCAGATAGAGATTATGCAGTGTTTGACTAATGAAAATGCAGCCTGAGCCATATTGCTGGTATTCTGAAAGCCTGGGTGTGGGACAGTGAGTGAATTTGTCACCTATTGAAAGATTTTTAGAATGATAAATGTCTTTCTGAGATAGTGATTTGTTTAACTCTCAGATTTCGTCTCTTCGGGAAATTGGGTTCTTATAGTTTTGTCATTCTGGAAAGAATGTGTTGCCTAGCTGTTGGCTTTGGTCCTGCAGTTATAAAGATGCTTGAAGCTGTCAGTGCAGATGAAGTTTAGGTTTGCATGATTTGCAGATGGGAAAATGCATTGTGTGCCCACAGAAGCAGAGGAAAATGTCTTGCAGTACAAGCTGAGTTAGACCCCCTACCCTGGACTCCAGCCCTCTGTTTTCCAGATGACTGAACTTCTGATTTCAGTTTCTTCCACCCTCAGTTCCCTGCAGAGGGACAATGGGTGTAAATCACGCTCTGTCATTTTACAGTCTCCCCGCAAAACCAGATATATTACATTTTGTTTCAGTCATCTTAACCTTTGGAATGTGAAAAGACTTAAATCTGATGAGGTGGCTAATATGTAAGGTAAAGAGATGTCTCTTGCCCTTTAACATGATATATGTGTGACAATGTGGCAACACAGCCTTAACTGTAATGAAAAACAAACAGGCGCTTGCCTCCCCTTCGAAAGGGAGTTGTCTCCCATGGTTTTCATTTCTGGAGCACTCTTTTGGACCTTCTGTTTTCTTTCTGTGTTTTGACAAGAAGATGCCACTCCATCTGGCCAGCCAGTTCTTCATCGTAATCAACAGGTTGCGGCTCAGAATATTATTATTCGAACGCAGAGAAGCTCATCATCTAAAGTTACTTCAGGGCTGGAACTCGTTGCCTGTATTTTGTTTCTACTGTTTAGAAGCCAGTTATTTTTTCGTTTGCTACCAACACAGCGATGACAGGACGCAGTTCAGGAAAATAACTCCAGAAGATGTCTGGGAATCGGACTGTAAATCATCTGGATGTTTTGGCTTTAGAGCTGTCTAAACCATTCCCGGGTTGGGCTGTGAGCAGTTTATATCCTGCGTTTGCTCTCTTTCATCCTATCTGGAACTCAGGGACTACTCTGTAATAGATAGAAAATAGATGGTTACTTGATGGTTCTTGAAGTGTTTTTCCACCTGGCTCATCACTGTAGCCCCATAGTAGCTGAGAGCACTGGTCTCCACCAGGTAGCAGGACAGAGGTCACGACCATGGGGAATCATGAAGATCTCCTAGCTGTCTCCACCCTGTCTGATCTTACTGGCACAGGACTGCAGTGTGGCACAGTAGACAGGCTTCTGGGCTTGAAACTGGAAGGTTGGGGGTTTAAATCCCGGGTGAGACACTGTTGTAGCTGCTGTAGTCCTTGGTGAAGGGTTTTACCTAGTACGTTTTCAGTTAAATATCCAGCTGTTTAAATGAGTGCAAGTGTAAATGTCTGTGGATAAAATCATCAGTCTAATAAATTAAGAAAAAATGTAGCACATTTTGTTCTGACACTGTGAACCCCTTGGCCACAATGAGCAAGTAGCAGAGGTTGGGCAAGAACCATGACATTCTTGGATTTAGGGTCCAATCCACAATCTGCAGCTTTTTGGTAACTGGATAAACCATTGGAGGGCAAAAATAGATTTTCTTTAAGCAAAACAACCCAGTAAATGTGGTTTAGGACTCCTCTGAAAAAACAGCAGGACTGGGGACCAAGCCAGTACTGCGACGCTGGCATTGAACCGTTCGGATTCGAAAGTCAGAGGCGCATGGAAACATGGCATCGACCAACACTGTGTCATCAGCAGATTCCCAGCCTGCTGAGAGATTTACGACACAGTTATATAAAGATGCCGTGCAATTGAAAGCACAGCCTCAAGTGTGGCAGGGAAAAAGAATGGAAGATTCTTAATTGAAAGACTCGGACTTTCGCCATTCGTTTCCACTATGGAAAAAACTTTTCACTAAAACCCAGCGTTGTGGAAAAAGGTTACTAAAATCCGCGGATTTTGGAATGTGTGGCGTCTGGAGCGCCAGTCATTAAATTGTGCCCTGCGGGGGCGTGTAGCACACGTTTACAGACCGCTCTGAGACAGAAGGTAATTTCCTCTCATTATGTAAAGATCAGCGGGAGGATTTGGAGGAGAGGTTAAGGTGGAGCCTGTTATGTAACTCTGGTCAGAAAACAACAGGGTAAGGCCCACTTCGGTGGGTCTTGTTGCCTAGTTACCAAGTCCAAAAGCAATTTCTGTGGCAAGAGGAAGAAAAAAGGCCGAGCTTGAGGCCCATAGACGAGTTCGTCCTCTGCAAGTTTACGACATCTGGAGCGATTGTGCCTTTTCCAATCTCATTCCCTGCTCTGTTCAGTTTTACCTGCTGTCAGTTTCAGGTCTCCAGAGCGTGTGAGATCTGTTGTTCAACTCCAAAGCAAATGCATTATTGCATTTAAAACAGCTGAGTCAACAGTGAGCCATCTCCTTTTTTTTGTCTTGTCGAGATTTTTTCCACCACCTGATACATGTTGTTCTTGCCAAAGTCCCAGTCTGATCTATAGTGTGTCTACAAACGCACTAAGTCCTATGGAATAACTGGTTCACCCACCTGTTATGAATGGCCTCCCTGCATTCCTTTGCTCCTTTATTGGATACTGAAGCGGAATAGGATGTGGTGTTTTTGAAGGTTCCTTTAGGTCATGCTGTTGAGGTCACAGCTTCACCCAGGGTGCTGGAGAAATCCAGCCTCCTCTTCAAAGTGCATTTGAATGTGAACTTGGGTTGCGGTAAACTCTTGTGATTTACACTCCAGGAACTCTTTCACTTAAATCACTCGAAGGGATGTCATTCTCATGGCACGAGCAGGCCAGGAAAATGGCTTGGTGCCTTGGCAGTGTTTGTGCAGACATTTGGTCTAGCCTGCATTGTTATTGGACAGGGTTTTAGCGTAGCTTCTTATGACGTTCCCGTTCAAATCTGTTTACTGGACAGAAGACTCTGCCTGAAAAGATTTTCTGAAATTAGTATAGAGCGGATTACTGCCACACAGTGATGGAAGACGAACAGTGTAGGTTTTGCAAGGAGGATGAGCATTTCATGAGTACTGTGGGTGAAGTAGAGTGTTTGTATGCTGATTGGCTCCCTGCCAAAAAAGGTATAAGAAATTTAACAGTGTGTGTATTGTAGTTTATAATGTAATGTATGATTTTCAGCCAGTTTCTGGGGATGTAAGGAGCATAAAGAGATAGCTAAGTATTTGCCTTTATTAAACTTCAGCTAGACATCCTAGCCATGACCCTCGTAATGCTGCTGAAATCTGCAGCCAGGTAGAAGGAGCAGGGCCTGTGCCTCACAGGGTCTGTTGGACTTCAGGAGAGGCCGCACTTGGATTGACTGCTCTCTCCTCCTCGCCGGCCCAGCTGTGCTGACCGGCGCTGTGTCCAGGCTGTGCACCTCCGCCTCTCTGGACCCCCTGGAGCCCTGTCCCAGAGGCCCTGCCCTCCAGCAGCGGTTCGTCGCCGGCTCCGTCGAGCAGCTGGCCCTCTACGCCCTCAACCTCGTCGTCATGGCGACCTTCCTGCCCCAGGAGCAGCTGAGAGTGGTGCCCATCCTGGCCGGGCTGTTTGTGGTGGGGAGGTGAGGGAAGGAAGGGGGCGTGGGGAGCTCGACTGGTCATCCTATTGGTTTAAAATCGCGGACTAACAGCATCTGTGTGCTTACTTGGTTGGGGGAACTAGAAAGGGCAGATTCAGGGATGGGGTGAAAACGGGTCTGCTCACAGATAATTCTCTGGACTGTTTTTCTCCCTGATGACGCTCGCTGCCGTTCATGACGGGGAATTTGTCGTGTCACTGAAACATTTCCGTTGAATGTTAGCTCTAAACCTTTGCAAGCCCAGTTAGAGACCAGGTGTTCATCCATCCGTTTTCCAACAGCTTTATCCAACACTAGGCTGCTGGGAAGCCGGAGTCTACCCACAAGGCAGGACACACCCTGGACAGACCAACAGTCCATCACTCCCTCACTCCCTCCCTCCAAGACCAAGTGTCCCAGAAGCCCATTAACCCGCCAGTAGGCCTTTTGTTTTTCAAAGGAAACCCAGGTGTCATGAGGCTGTTAGTGAGCTCAGAAGCTTGATGAGATAGTTTGATCAGTATACTAAGCAATCACACAAGCTAGACAGGCTGAATGCCATCTTGTCTTTAATGCTCTCTGTCTCGTCTCTCCCAGGTTGGCCTACTGGATGTGTCTCCACATGTGTAGCTCCGGGCGGGGGTTCGGCTCAGGACTGACCGTCTTCCCTCTCCTGGCCATGATGGTCTTCAACCTCTTCTACCTGTTTGATCTGGAGATCGGTCACCTTTTGCCCAGAGCAGGGGAGGCCAACTCCACACAGACCACTCCCACCCCCCAGCCAGGCCTTGAGCCCCTGGGAGGCTGAGTGACAGGACAGCAGGCGCCTGCAGACTGACCATGCTGCCTGGACACAGAGAGACAGAGGTGCTGCACAAACAAATGAGCGTCTGCCTCATTTCATTCTTGAGATCATCTATATGAAATAGTGGCTCTTCAAGCTTTACAAGACATCAGGAACTAAAAAAAAATGTCAGTGCGATTGTCTTGCAAATAAGACATTGTTGTAGAGTATTGTGGACTCAGTGGCCTCATAAGATGCTTTTTTTCCCCTTCCCATGCTTTAAACATCTCTTCAAGAAAATTTCAGAATGGTTACCCTGTTAACTAACTTGGTGAATGTGACAATTTTAACAAAATTTGATTATTGCTGCTTTTTACATCTGTCATGTCTCCCAGAGAGAACTGGAATACTGAGTTGAAATTATGCGGTGTTATTACATTATGCCAGTGCAATTTCATGGATTTGTTTAAAGATGAAACCTGTTTTGTTTTTTATTTTGTCTCGAATTAATCACTCAAGTATTAATTTAAAACGCCATTCTTTTCAATTGGGTGGGAAAAGAGAATAGGGAGAACTGAAAATCTTTCCACCTGTCTGAAAAATGTCACTGAATTAGAGTTTTGTAGAACCATTGTTTAATTTTCTAATACAAAAAATTGCTCTGAAGTTTCACCTTGAAAATAATGCTCTCAGGCTTTCTCACTTAATGTTGACTATACAAGTGAAATATAGCAAATGTAATACATTTCTTATCTTCTCCCAAATTAAGGCTAGTCAGGGTGCCTGTATATTTTTCATTTCTGAGGGTGTAATAAACTCTAAATAAGTAGTGCAGATTTGGTTATTGAATTCACAATACACACAGGTTCATGTGGCCGAACACCAGGAAGAAATGTACAGAAAAAATGCTGAAACCATGTGGATAACATTATTTCACAGCACTGAGAGGTGGAATAGCAGCTGAAGTTCCAATTCAATTTAGTCTAAACAATACTTAAAAACCAGACTTAAAATTGTAAAAGAATAAGATCAGGCATATACCTGGTGAATTATTTTTTTTTAAAACTGGACAGCCTGCCAGCTGGCTCCTGCTGGAAAATGACGGGCATGCAGTAGAAGGGACACTGGCCCAGCTCACGTGAGGTGGCAGACTGGCGTCTGGGTTATATCTGTTCCCTGATGGGTGGACGGGCCGTGGGAGTAGAGCTGTCCCTATGCCCAGCCTCATCCTCTCCGGGCACGCCGAGATTCACCATCTCAACCCCAGCCGCCTCACCAGAGCTACTGCTCTCCGTGCTCAGGTGGTCGTCCGCCACAGAGGTGGGGCCGGGCAGGGGGAAGTATCTTCCCAGAAGCCCTAAAAAGGCCCAAATCACACAGAAGGCCATCACGGGGGCTCCGATGACGATGCCGATGGTGGCGGCCAGCCGATCGAGCCACCCAACTCCACCTGCGGCCCTCCCCTGGTGTTCCTGGTCCCAGGCGTAGATCACTGGGCTGCAGGTGCCCAGCAGTGCATTGTGGGTGGAGAGGGGGGGGCAGCTGGCGCAGCTCCGCTCGCCCTCCCCGTGACAGGTGTAGCAGGAAGGATGACAGGGCTGGCACCTGCGCGCTTCTGCCACACCCATCCCGCTGCCATTGAGACTCCATTCGTAGTGGTGGGGAGGGCAGAACACCAGGCACACGCGGTCAAACGCATACAAGGGGTACCGGCACTCTGCCCAAATAAAACCACACAAGATTAGCTCTCATCAGAATGACTGAAAACCTCTCACTTTTTATACAGGTGAACAAAAACCCCAGTCGTTCTCAATGGGCTCATTCTGCGTTCGTTATTTTAGAACAAGTTAAAATAGCCTTGGACCATAGCCTTTTTCTACATTCCTTTGTAACTGTGCCATTTGTGGTTGTCGTGTAATATGATCGACGGTAACAAACAGTTTGCGATGTCTAAAATGCTGAATGAAAATTTTAAGAAAATGGCGTGACCTAAACCAATTATCCAACATGTTTTTCTAAGTTTCTTCTGTCCCAGGAATCCCAGTGTTAATCTTGTTTGTAAGTGACAAAAATATTAGTTTGAAACCTACAGTGCTCTACCTAAAGGAATAGAAAATCTTTCACATATTTCCAAAGCACAACACTCTGAATACAGCTCAAACCACAGCAAACCATCCACAGCGATTTCTTTTTGAATTGCTTTCGTTGTCTTGTGGTGTCGGTGATACAGAGGGCTCTCCTCTGCCTGTCGAGAGATTTACCTTGACAGATCCCCTGTGGGCTCCAATCCAAGCACTCCTCCACCACTGTCCTCTCTACTCCCCGCTCTGCCACGTTCTCCTCTGTCCCGTACAGCTCCAGACGGAAATGACTCAGCACTCCTGGGGACAGAGGAATTCAGATGACTTGCACAACTTCTGTTTCAGCTTTCACACCACCTGCCTTTTTCACACGTTTATTCCAAGGCGAGAATTCCATCTACAAAACACTTCACTGTTTGGCTCAAGTGTGGTTTGTGATTTCCAGCTCTGTCACTAAGACAGCTGTCACCATTTCTGAAGACATGGAATTCAGTGTGTCCTCCTTTACTTAAGGCTTCAAAACATCTTTGTTCCCCCTGTACTGACTGTGCCCGGGGACTTGGCTCTTGAGCAGTCCCAATCAGGCATCTTCCTTGGGATCCTTCAAGCTAGAAAAATGAGGATGATGATGGTGATTGATTGTTAAACAGTTGCTTCTGTTTTGTGAGAGTCACAATCCAGAGGGACACCTTCAGATCACCAATTTGAAAAAGATGTGGAACACGTGCAATATGAGTGCTGATTAACTTAGTAAATTAACTGAAATTAACTGATACAGTTGAGTCAGGAATGGCCAAATGTTGTCTGTGTTACAGAGTGTTAGGATTTGCATTTCAAATGATCTCCAAACTATCTTATTGAACACAAACCACATGCTTCAGTGGTCAAAACCAAATTGATCCTGATGTTCACAATTTGCAGTTTTAAGGGTGACCCGTAAAGCCTACTGGATTGTGGTTCTCCAGAACTATGGGTGGCAATGCTGGGATCCAGGGAATAAAGGGCAAGGAAGATGCTGAACGAGAGGCGCTTCATTTGAAAAATCTCCAGAGGGGTCAGTATTTCGTTGGTGTGGGAGAGCACCCACTCTGACCTGTGTTGGTGCCATCGCCCTTGTCTTCCAAGCTCAGGGTCCACACTCCTCGTGGATCCTCGTCCCAGCAGTGTGTGGTTGTGAAGGCCCAGTCAGAGTAGCCCTGTGGAGAGGTGTCCCTTGGTCTGAGGCGACAGGAGAGGGGGAGCATGATTACCTTATATGATCACCCTGTTTATTATTATGGGGAAAACGATCGATTCTGCAAACCGTGACTAATGCTGTATGCAAGCGCTTCGCAAACTTTGTGCTATACTCTTTCAGTCAGGTTCAGCATCCCAGAAGGTGTATATGTGCATCCCTGCTCTGTGGGCTACCTACAAGATAATCCATCCATCTATTTTCTAACTGCTCCTTCTCCAGGGCCTATCCCCACAAGCAGTGGGCGCATGGACAGGCCCCCACACACCAGGGCCAGTTTTCCCAGAAGCCAACTGACATACCAGCACGTCTTTGCACTGTGGTAGGAAACCCACAAAAACACAGGGAGAACAAACAGACTCCACGCAGACAGCACCCCAGGTCTAGAATTGAACCCAGGGCCCAAGAGCTTCAAGGCAGCAATGCTAACCTCAGTGCCCTACAAGATACAACACTTAACACTTAAAATATTACAAAGAAACAGCACACGAACATACAAATTGCTCTAAAAGGATGCAATACACATTACTCTCTTATTTCTACGAAAGTAGCCTCATCCTGTCTAAATAGACACAGTGCTACTGAGGGAGAGAACAGTTCCGTGATAAACAGGAGGATTATTTTCACCACGGCTATTGGCATTACCATGAAAATAATGTCTGTGAGTGCTGGCTGTCCAAGAAGACATTACAGCAATTTCAGCAAGAGTTACGGGGCAGAGGCAGAGAGTAGAAAGGTCTTCCGGAAAGAATTCCAGTCATAATCCACAGCAATAAAACTGTTCTGATCTACGTTCAGATGCTGATGGTGATAACTTGGTAGCAGAAGGTGCAGCAGTTCGACATGCTCAACATGTTCTCAATGCGCCTGCGCTGTAGTTCTAACTAGACAGAACTGGCCCGGTGCCGGAAGGACCTGAAGCAGAGAGCTGGAGAAGTGGGGATATTTGGTCCTCCCAGAGGGCCTTGCTGCTGCGCACGACGACCAGGAGACGGCGCGGAGGAGGAGAGGCCTGCCTGGCAGTGGCGAGCAGGGAGCGAGTGCCCCGCGGGCTGGTGAGGGAGATGGCCAGGTCGCCGCGGCGACTGCAGGCCAGGGAGAGTCGCGCCTGGACGTGCTCCAGCGACCGGATCCAGTCCCCCGTCCCGGAGCAGGCCGACACGTTCCACCTGAACGGCAGCTGCCCTCGGATCTCCCTGCAGGACAGACAGGCAGGTCATGTTACCTCATTAGCACCTCCTACGCCTCACCACCTGCATGCTGTTAAAGTGGACCTAGCAGCCACAAATACAGCACATCGCCTGATCGCCACCACTGTGGTTTGATTACTTGGTGAGAAAACAGCCTTGCCTCAGTAATCATAGGAAGTGATGTCAATTTTCTGATTTTCGCTGTCGTCTGTAGCAGTCATATGACAGGACAGACTGTTAGTTTTTAGACCCAAGTGAATGTAACTGCTTACTACACTAGTCAACAATATTTACAAATAGCACCCCCCCCCCCCCGCCAGAGAAGAAATAAAAAAATAGATGATTTTCCTTTACATGGGTCTCGTAACAACGTCAATAAAGCACTTCCTCTGAGGCCGCACCGTTTTCCACTTCCTGGCAAGGTTCACTAGCTTCCCAGCATCCAACAGCCCGTATCCATAGTGATGGCTGACTGAAATAGAGAGCAGTCGAGAGTTGGGAACAATGATGAGCACACTCTTTAATGGGCGTGAAAAAGAATCTGCTGTGTTTGTGATAGAAGTCTGTGCACCTACAGTATAGTCATCCATTATCATTGACCTAGCAGAGATAACCAAACTCGATCTAGCATACTCTAAGTCTTGATTTTACTCACTGCAAGAAACAAAGCCTGAATTTGACAGGAGTATACTTATTGTAGATAACAGAAATCTCCTAAACAGTATTAGTGAGAACAGACTGTTCTGGTCTGCACTGTTTCATTTCAGCAGTCTTTGGAAAAGCACCTCATCCATAATAACACTTTAAATGCCTCCAATGCTTGTAGTTATGGCCACAGAAACATTAACCATGGTAAATCTACAATCTGAATGGCTTCATCATGTCTGTTACTATGCGCTGACATGGGTTTATTATGTCTCAAGACTGTGCATTGTCATTGGTCCACAGCTATTCCGTCCTCACAGTATACTGAATACAGTCTATGAGGTGTATAAAAAGTACAGAAGTTCCATATAAATCACTTTTATAACCATCCGCTGGAGGCACAATTTGTATACTGTATTGATGCCAAGATCCAATATTTTACTATTTCTTAAAAATATTTTCCGTGGTTCTTTGCCCTAGAGTTTGCAGTGCATCCAGTAGGGTTTTGTAAGTTTTGCACTCGATTGCTTCCATCTCAAAAATCTCTTCTCAGAACCCCTGCTTCCCGTCCGCACCAGCGCGGCCCACTCCGTTGAGCTGCCAGTCGTCCGCCCTCAGGCCAGCTGGGCGGGATGCCCGGATCACGACGTGCTGCACGTCCCGCCAGGTCAGCGTGGGGCTGGGTGAGAAAGGCCATCAGCTTGTACACAGCTTTCATCACATCCTGCAGTCACTAAGTATTCTATCAATTCAGCACTGGGGACTAATGCAGGCCATGAACTCTTGAGGCAACAGCAGTCAGAGTGGCCTTCGTTTCCAAAAGAAAACTGGTCACTGATGTAGGTGTTCCAAAAAAGTAACGCAATGGCCTTTAAGCAAGGTAATTACAGCTAAATGAAGCTAATGCTCCGAACAGGAGGTCATCTTTACACAAAGGGTTGTGGGAGTCTGGAACTAGCTACCCAACCATGTGGTTGAAGCCAAGAAGCCAATACCCTGGCATTCTTCAGGAAAGAGTGGACAAGATCCTTGAATCAATGAGTTAAAAACCAAACAATGAGGCCAGCATCCTCCTTTCACGAGTAAGCATTTCTCATTCATTTAAGAGTCGAGTGTACTGAAAAAAATCAGTCTTTGGCAGATGTTCAGGAAAATAAACTGGATTTCATTTTTGGATTTCCAAATACTTTTTGTGCCACAAACTGTTAACAAAATGAGATCATACTAACACTAAAATGTGTAGGTCTGGACCATAAAGAATGGGTGTTAGGAAACAAGGGGGCAGGCACACTGCGTCACTGATCGTGCGCCTCACAACTGTTCGCCCAGCTGGTTCAGAGCTTTCAAATGCAGTAAACCACTTTAGCGCACGTCTTCAGCAGGAATGGCCACCCTAATCACAAATCAGAACGAGGAGTCCTATCCATTCCAGACTGCCGATAACCACCAGGCAGATCTAAGAGTTTTCGTCCAAGGTGCACGAAAAGGAAACCGCTTACTTCGCCTCTAGAGCCAACGCGATAATCCCGGCAGCGAGCGGCGCGGAGGCGGAGGTCCCGCTGTGCTCCGCTGTGCATGTGGCCCGCAGGTCCGTGGTGACCTTCCAGAGGGGAAACAGCGGGGTCAGCAGGTCGCAGAAGGAGGCTTTTCTCAGGTCCCCTGCTTTCAGGAAAATCCACTGGATTCTGGCAACACATACCTTTCTGACCTTCTGGGAACCGAAATAGAGCCCAGATGGGTCCAATACACGTTTGTCTTTCTCCTGATCAGGTAAAATCCAATTAAAAATGCATCTTTTGTGGTCTAATAGAAAATCATGAATTGCTTTTATTGTAAGAAGAGTGTTAAGCACATATTAAATAGTCTGGGTATTACGCACAGATGAACAAGGAACAGGAGAAAATATTTCTCAGTTATTGTAAGAAAGTGATTGAAATAATTAGGCTTTGGTGCCCTCTAGAGTCTACCAAACTATAAACAGACAAAGCAGCAATGTGCAATTCCCTTCACCAAACACCCCAAGAATTCCGAAGAGGTGTTGCAGCCCTTTCCACATTTTAAAACCTTTATATATAATAAAATGACTCAGGGGGACATTTGTTCGATTTGAATGTTCACAAAATGCTAACTGCCATATGATTGTGACAGATTTTAGTTTATGTTGAGAATCATTGTTCTAACAATTAACAATCCACCTATAATCGCTTCCACCTATATAGCGCTTTTCTGGACACTCCGCTCAAAGCGCTTTCCAGGTAATGGGGACTCCCCTCCACCACCACCAGTGTGAAGCCCCACCTGGATGAAGTACTTCCAGCTACAGCTGGACTAACCTGAAATTCCCAGGCCTTTTCGAGGGGAATGCATCAATCCAATCAGATTTAGCCAATGAGATTTTCACAATGGTACTGGACCAAGTATCAGACTAGTGGCTCGATGACTGGGCGAATTGGAGAGGCCTCATTCTCTCTCCAGCAGGTACGGGGGTCCTCATATATAAGGCACAACTGGCAACTACAAATTGGCTGGGTACATGTAAAAAATAAATAAAAACTGGCAATGCTAACTTCGAAAAAGGTCAAGAAAATGAGATCTTACGATCTTGCGGTGAAGCTTGCTCCCGCTGCTGTAGGTGGTGGTGAGGATGGCAGAGCAGGGCTCACTGTACTCGGGCACAGTGCCCCTCTCTGTGGTGCTGCCCACCAAGACGGTGTACATGCTGTTGGCATAGCCGTCGCAGTTACAGTTGTCGAAATGAGCCCCGCCGTTCCCCGAAGCCCACACAAAAATGGACCCCAGCCCTCTCCGGCCCTGTCAAAGGGACAGCGCTGGGGTTAAGTGTTTGCTGCGTTACTGTGAAATTGTGCAATGGGAGTGCCTACAGGAAACCTTCACGAATGCCGATTTCTGCTGAAGCCAACATCCCTTCACAGGATTCATGCAAGAGGACCTGCTGATTATCAAGTGCTCCCTATAAACTACAGGGATAGTGTTAAATGATCAGTGTGTGCATCACTTGCTCTTTGTGCTGGGATTTAGTGCTTCAATGTACGGCAGATGGGGGTGCGATGAGCACGTACCTGGATAACGCCCCGGATGAGAGCCTCTTTGGCCAGCACGCCTGGCCCATCCAAAGACCGGCCGTCGTCCTGGGGCCCCCAGCTGGCGCTGTAGATGTCGATGTGCTGGGACTTCCAGCTGAGGGACAGCGCCTCCACCAGGTCGGTCACATGGCCATCCAGCATCCGCACTCCTAGGCCACCACGGCAA